ACCAAAAAAAAAATATTTTACTTTTTGTTTTTTTTTATTTGAGCGATGTATGAGATAATGTGTAGTTAATTATTTTTTATTTTAGAAATATTGCAGTATTTGTGGGATGGACCAAAAAAAAAATACGAAATAGTATGTGGGACTAAGGGAGTATCTTTTTTATTATCGATACAATCTTCATATTTAACATAAGAATATATATATATATATTCATAAAAAATAAAAGGTCACAATTTTACACTTGCATTTTCATAAAATATACTTTTTCCGTCTCAACTAAAAGGATCATTTTTACTAATTTTATTTGTTCTAATCAAAAGTATTTTTTTATACTACAATAATAATAATAATAATAATAATAATAATAATAATAAAGGTCGTGCTACAAATTAGAGTCTATCTAAATATTAAAAGCCATAAATATCATCACAACTTAAAAAATTAATGAGCCAATTTCAATCGGTTACATTCCTAGCGGTACACATTTAAAGCCATTTTATTCATCAAATAATTGTGGATTTGTTTTGCTACTTGTGTTTCCCTTATCTTTAGTATTTTGCAAATAGTAAATATTATTACATTTTTATTTAATGTAACATAAATAAATATTTAATAGTATAACATTTTGATTAAAAATAAAACTTGCATGTAAATATTAAAAACAATAAATTATTTTAAGATGCATGGTAAAAATAAAACGATTGAAAATAATATCAAACAAAAAATAAGTTACTCTCTCTCTCTCTTTAAAAATATTTTACTTTTTATATATATTTGTCTATTTAAACAATACAAATGTGTATATATATATATATAATATAGTCGCTAGTGCTATAGTTATTTATCAATATTTGTAAAATTTTCAACAAAGGTATATATTGTATATTATGACAATATGTTGACCAACCAACACTATAAATAAATTATACTCTTTTCGTCATTCAATAGTGTGTTTATTTGATCGAACATGAGTTTAAAAAAAAAACTAGATAAAATAAAAAAAAAATTATTTTTTATGTTAAAAAAAAGTATAAAAAATGGGGTATCTTTTCTCATAAAAAGAAAACGAAAATAAATTTCAATATCAACTAAAAAAAAATAAAAATCAATTTGAATGACAATGGAAGTATTATTTTAAAATATTAAAAAATTAACCTCTCTTCTTCGACAAAGTTCTATTTTCACAACCAAAAAAAATATATATATCATATTAATATTTGTGCCCAAAAAAAATTCACTTATTTTTAAACTAAGGAGACAGTATTATAAATAAATGGTAAAATGTTATTGTTATACTTCAAATTTTCATCAAAAAATTAATACTATAATATAATAAAATATTTTAAATAATATTTATATAACATTTTAATAAAAATAGATGTTAAATTTTATTTAAAAAGAAAATATTTTTAAGAAAATAGCACAGAAAAAAAGGATATATTCATTACCCAAACAAAACATATATAAATATTTTATTACATTGACATAAATGCATAATTTGTATTGATGCTTATTGAGAAAATAGACATGACATTATTGTGTTTTGTACTTTTTATTTTTCAGATAAAATATAGAATCAAAATACAAGTGAAAAAAATAACCAATAATTATATATATATAATGTTTTGCGTGTTGAGAAAATTTGGAAAAAAAAAAACACACACACACACACAAAAATGCAAAAAATTTGGTAATTTAATTCGATATTTATGTCTGAGTACGGTCAAGCCAAATATATACAAAGTACAAGTTATAGAAAAATAAATTAAGGGTGTGTTTGTTTGGGGGTTTGGATTTTGAGTTGGAATTTGAATAGTAAAAATTTTGAATTTGAATAGTTGTATGATGTGATATAAATAGGTGATGATGTGATGTTTTGAATATAAAATTGATTTTTAGTATAATATAAAAAATAAAAAATAAGTGTTTGATTTGATATTTTTGGGGGAAAATTTTGGATGAACAGTGGAATTTTATCCAAATTCATCAAACGAACACACCCTAAATATATATAGAAGTTTAGGCTAAATTCTGGCATTCGACCCAAAATAAGACCATCAGTCGAAAATAGAATATAATCTAGCCTATACCGATTGGGTTAGAGGCATTGTCCTGGACCCCCAAGTCGTGATGTTGGTCCTGGACTACACTCGTTGATCGGACAGCGAGACTTCGTATAGGCAGGGTCGTCCTTGAGTTTTTACGGACTCTCTGGCCAAAAAAAAAAAAAGTTTGTACTTATTAATTTGTTTATATAATTAATATTTTTAAATTATTTCTTTTATTATTTAAAATATTTTGAATTTGTTTGATTCTATTTTCAATAAAACATGCTTATGTATTGTTCAAATTTTTTTATTTTTTATTTTTTATTTTTGTTATCCAAAGTTATTTTTGTTTCATTTTTTTAGTAACAAAATATTACTTTTTCTACTTTTTATTTATAAAAAAAAATGTAAAATGTTCTATTTTTACCTATTTTTTTGTACTCGGTCAAATGAGCACACGATTGAATAATGGATGGAGTACTATTTTTTTCATAAATATCATATTACAATATATATTTAAATAAAAAAAACTTAAATTTAAATACAAATAAATGGATTTTAATATATATTTTTCTATATTATACATATATCTAAATTTTGTTTTATATATATTGTAAAAATAAGCCCCTAAAGTGACCACAAATTTTGGAGGTGTGGGTGTGGGCTTATATAGCTTGTGCCACTCTAAATACAGCTTAGGTAAATAATAAATAAATTATATTTAAAGTGGTTGTTATATATAATTTTAAAAGTTTTGATATTAATAACTAATTAAAGAATTGTAATAAATAATAATTTTCATGTCCGTCAAATTTATTTATATAGGAGTATATTTTTTTTATTCATCCATTGAATTTATCTTATTTTTAAATTTAATAAAGCAAAAAAAATATATCAATATTTAAATATTATTATTCAGTAAATCTTTTATATTTACAGGAATTGTTACTATTTTTTCCATAAACATTTTAATTACTAATTAATTTTTCAAAAATATCTCTAATTACGCTTTCATTTTTGTTATTTTATAATAAGATAAGAATATTTATTATTATTTTTTTAATTTTTTGCGGATCAAATAATCTAATTTACCGGATATAAAAAAAATATTTTTCATAAAATATCGTATTAAATACTTAATTTTTTATTATTTTAAGAAATTTTAAAACTATTTCTTATTAGTTTGAGAAGAAATTTAATATAAATTTGGTATTAAAATAATGTCTTACGAGATGTTCACGAAAAAAAGAAAATTTATTTTATTTTATTTTTTTAAGAAAACGTAGAAATCAAATTGTAAAAAATTAAAAATTTCATCCAAACGGAGCCAAACGTATTCATGTCAATATATATATATATGTATGTATGTATAGCTGGCGGAGGCAGTAGGAGAATAATACAAAAATTTGATGGCGTGGGCAAACGCAGTAGATGCGTATAGTCATCCATAAACCTCTCTTGCATGTCTGCCACGTGTCCACGATTTGCATGCCGTTGCCACCTATTGACGTTATCTTCTACGAACTACCATAATGCGTTTCAGCCTAATTAATTATATTATACTTTCTTTTTTTATTATTAATATTTTGTCCACCTTGATATAATTATTTTGAAATTTGTGTTTCTTTTGTCGTCATTTGATGCTTATTTTTGTTTTTAATATTTTTAGTAAATAAAAAAAAACCTATTTTCTAGTGTACAAAAATTAAATATCTATTTTTATGGTTTATATTAATTAAAAAAATTAATTTAATATTAAAACATAACATCAACTTTCTTTATATAAGATTAGAAATTTATAGGAGTATTAATTTAAAAAAAATTCATTTCAAATTTTAAACTCAATCTTACTTTTATATCACACTGAACAATAATTTTATTTCTAAAAGAATATATCAAAGCATCTAAGATGTGTTTGGCAAAAAAACGAATACAAAAATTCAAAAATAATTTTATTTCTCTTATATATTTAAGTCAGAAAATTAAAATTTAAAAATAATTTTTTTTCTCCAACATACAAAAGGAAACAAAAATTTAAAACCTTGTGTAGCATTTGTTTATTTTTTTTCATTTGTTTATTGTTTAATTTTTATAATTCTTTTAAAAAAATATTTATTTTAATCAAATAAAAATTGTTCAAATTATTATTCAAAATAGAGATTACTAACTAAATATGGCAGTATTTTTTCAAAATTCTGATTGAAACTCTACCTTTTTACCTATTCAAGCAAATTCGATGAAAGAGATGAGGTCACAATATTTTAAACACGTGCATAATTAAAAATAATGGTTTACTACCGCATAATCTCAATATAATTTATAATTGTCAGACAAAATCACTGACATAAAAATGACTATTATTTAAATTAAAATTCAAATAAAAACATTAAGGGTATGCGTGTTTTAGGCGAAATTTTCGAATAGCAGCTAAACCGCAGCTACGAATTCTCATGTTAAGCTCAGATAGTTTTTAATTTAAATTTTTTATCAAATTTTTTAATAATAAAAGGTTAAATTTAAATAATTGGTTAATGAAATATAAATAGAGATTATATGTAATATTTTAAATATAAAATAAATTTATAATATAATATTAAATAAAAAATCCAAAAATTTCAAACATCAAACAGACCCTCAACTCGCACTAATACTCGGAATAAATAAAAACCCACCAAAGTTGATGTAAATAACGACAAATAATAAAATTTGTAAACTTTATGGAACAAAATTCAATGAAATTGAAAGAGCAGTAAATAATTGAAATTCCAGAGGGTTTGAGAGTGGTCAGATTTGGTTGCAGCTGAACATCATGTCGATCAACAATAATTTATTAATTTAATACACACAACATATGAGATACTAAAGATCATTATTATTATTACAATTATTACCCACACATTAATAATAGTATAACATTAATTAATAATAATGAACACAAAAGGACCGATCGACTTAATTAAAATAACAATATTCAGGAAATACCCAAAAAGAAATTAAAAAAAAAAAAAAAGTCATTACCAAAACAATCTGCTGAAAAATAATAATCACAATCACCACCTATACATACACTTGGATTGTGTATGTATATATTATATTACCATATATCTACACAGAATTCGTCGAATCTCCGACCGACGTTTATTTGAGGAGATCATTGACCCATCCAAGATCAGGACCCGCCGAGCAATCGCCGCCGCTGAATTCGGCATCTCCGGCGAAGAATTTTCCGGCGCGGCGGCTTGGGGCAGCGACCGGAGTCGAAGGGGAGAGCACGAATTGGGGTTGCTCTTCAGCCGCGAAATTCACATCCAGCCATGGCAGATTAACATTAACACCACAATTAGGGTTTCGCGGCGTCGCCGGCGGCGGAAGCTCTTGATTCACATTCATGGCTTCGAACGACGCCATCAGCTCACTCAGCGCCGCCTCCTTGTAGCCCATCCCGCCGCCGTGGCTGAACTCCGGCAGGATCCCGGAGGGATCAATCCCATACGATTCGAACCCGCCGCCTCTGTAACGGTCGCCGCCGTACAGCGCGAACTCCGGCGAGCACGCCGGCGAGATCGGCGGAGATACAGGCGGCGACGCACGTGACACGCTCGTGAGGGTCGAAGTCGGAGAAGCGGTTATAGAGTGACAGAAAAGGCAGCAGTGCTTCAACCGGCCGCCGTCGAACTTCTTCTCCGGCGGCGTCGAAGATCCCAAATTACTCATCTTCGGCGAAGGCGCCGCCGCCACCGCGTCCGGCACAATCCGGAGCTGCTTCGACGAGTGAGCGAAAAAACAAACCTTCCTCTTACAGTTCTTCCCGTCTTTACAGGCCTCCGTCCGGTAACGGCTAGGATGCAGCCAACACTCAAAAACGCCATGGGAGAACTCACAGTTATCTCCTTTACCGCAATGGCCCTTCCGGAAGTCGGCGCAGACGGTGCCGGAGTAATGGTATCGTCGGGGGTCTCTCCGGCGGGCCTTCTCGCCGGGGTGGGCGAAGGGGCAGTCGGTCCAGTCATGGCTGCGGCTGCGATTACATTTTCTGACCTTAAATTCGTAGATCCGGAAGTGGTCGGAGGAGTAGGGATCGTCGTCGTCGTCGTCGTCGGAATCAGCGCTGTTGGTGGGGAGAAATTTGGAGAAGACGCCGGCGCCTTCGGCGGTGGGGGAATCGAGCATGAGGTGGTCCCGGCGGGCGGTGGCGGCGGCGGCGGCGAGGAGGAGCTTCCGGGGAGGGATGTCGATGGAGGAGTTGTTTTTGCAGGGTAGGTAGAGATGGTGGAACTTGTGTTGTTGCTCGGCGCAGACGCCACCCATCGTACCGTACGATTAATTTAATTAATTAAATAAAGATAATTAATTTTTTATAATTTGGGGGAAGAAAAAAAAATGGAAGAAAGTGATGGGGGAAAGTGAGGGATGGGAGTGAGGTATAAATACAGGAGGAGGGGGGTGGGGCGGGGGGGATGAATCTGTATGTATCTGTATCTATATGTGTGTGTGTCTGTCTCTCTCTATATAGGAGAGAGAGGGGGGGGGGGGGGGGGGGTGTGTGTGTGACGAGGATGGAATGGGGTATGGGCAGGGAGGTGCGTGGCTGCATAGTATTAGGGTTTTTCATGCAAGGGGAGATATGTGGCAGCTCGACATCACACTACACCATGCATATGCATACAATATGTAATATATATCATATATAACATTATATATAATTCTTTACCTGGTGTGAAAGGCAGTCAGGGCCACCCCACCTCACCTCACCCCCACCCCCACCCCACCCCATTTTTGTATGTTTCTTCTTCTGTCTGCATCTGCCGCTAAGACTTATGACTCATGGGCTCTGTCACTAGAAATCATGTATAACAAAATAACCATTTCTTGATTCTCTCTTTCTCTCTCTATCTCTCAATTTTTTTGCTTTAATTTTTTTTTTTGTTGGTTTACCACAAGCATACCAACAACAATTTTAAACTTTCCCTGTTCACCCATAATCAATTTACTTTAATATTATTATTTATAACTGAGCAAAAATAAAAGTTTGGTCCCAACGTCACATTAATTACTATTTTATTAATATTATTCTTATAGATATATTATGGAATTCCATATACTGCCATATGAATATTGCACTAACACGCCCGTGTTTTGATGCAATTTAATATAAGAATGTAACAATATGCTATATTGATCTTAAAAAACTATCTAAATTCCCAATTAATATGTCTTATTTTAGATTTGAGTATTTTTGTTTTGTAATGATTTCATATTGGAATCACCATTGTTCACTTCATATGATATTTAACAATATTTAAACAAAAATTCAAATCAATACCTAATTTCAAACCTCAATCCACCAATGTAACTAATAACAATTAATAATATATTGCGCACCCTACATATATATTATTAAATTTCTTTCTTTCTCTTTTTTTTTTTTTTTTTTTTTTTTGGGGACATATGACTATATATAGGCCCAGTAAAATTTAATTAAAGATGTTTAAAGGAGCTCAAAAATTGAAGGAAGAAGGATCAAGATATTGTTCAATTAGCATGTAAGAAATGGCATGTGAAAGGAAAAGATTTCGAATTACTTGGGAATGAAGCTATTCATGTAAGAAGAAGACAATTGTTATTCCAATTAGTGTATTAATGAAATTGTTAGTAGTGTTCATTTCCTTTTTTTTTTATAGTAGTGTTCATTTTATTTTTTTAATGACGTGAAAATTCGCAGCCACTATCCGAAAGTGTGCATTGGGTAAACCCTCGTCAAAATACCTTGCAAACTAGGTCTGGTAAGACAAATTACACTAGGCGAATTATGTATGACAGGTAACCTGGAGGCGTCGGGGATTTGAATAGAAGTAAACTTGATGTTCTTTCTTTCTTTTCTTTCCTTTTTTTTTTTTTTTTCCCAATATGATTAAAAGGTTTTGGATTTAATTTTATGCTAACATTTACTATAAGAGAAGACCATGTCATCAAAATAAGAAAAGTTGTGATTTTATTTGTCTAAGTATGCTACAATAGATTTTTCTACTTGGAGTTAATTAATCAACTATGTTTTAATATTTATGCGTATCATGTTTTAATTAGACTTCCTATATAACTTTTATTATTTATAATTCGAAAATTAAATAAATTATTTTAGTCTTTAAGTAAATCTCAATCACATCAAAATTATCATAACAAATGTTTAATGATTCTCAATGTTGCTAGAAAGCTATTTTATGCTAGCCAATGATACTCTTATATGTATGTTGATAAAAATTAATTAGTTATATTAAATATGAACTCCAATCTTCATTTAATAAGCATCATCATCAACATCATCTTCTCCAATTCATTTGGATTTGCCCCATACTTTTTATTTGATATATATATATATATATATTTAGGTGAGATAGGTTTAGGGTTTAGGGGATATAATGTTTTATACGAACGTAAGATAATTTGACTCTTGTCGATCAACCGTTAAATAATCCATTTCTAACGACCATGTAAGGGAATGATGGTAGCACGAATCCAAACGTTTTTCTTAATTAAAGGAACAACTAATAAAACCGTAGAAAAAAATGTGATGTTACGAAGATATTTGTCATGGGATGACGACGAAGCTTATTTAAGAATTTGGAAGACGACAATGAAGCAAGCGAAAAAAAATGCAACGTTGGAGAAGATAAAGACAATAAATGTGAGAAGAAGCCAGAGGCGAATAATAAGACAACTTCCTCGAAGACAAATAGAATGTTAAATTAAGTATAAAAATAAAGAAAAATTAAGAGGTTGAAAGTTGATTATAATTAAGATTAAGTTTAGAAATAAATAATACAAAAATAATATTAAAAAATAAATGAATAAATCAATATATAGAAATAATAAGAAGAGACTTAAGAAAAAAAATAATAATAATTAAATTAAATAGAGTCCTGTGACCTACTTCATCTCAAGTGCATCCACCATGAAAGACATATTTTGAACTATATATATTATTTATTGTTTAAAGCTAATACTATATTTGTTTTTGAAATATTTACTATAATAATAAAATGTTGTTTTTATATTGATGCAGTAAATATATCAATGTGATGTTGAATTTATTAGGAATCATTAGATTAAATATAACGTTCACCTAACAATTATGTAAATATTCCCTCCGACGCATATCTATATATCTATTTGATTTTTGTACGGAATTTTAGAAATATTAGTATTATATTGGGATAAAGTAGAAATAAAGATAAAAAGACTAAATTAACCCTATTAGTATTATATGCTATAAAAGTAATGACATTTGTGTAATATATTGTAAATTCAAATGATATTTGTAATGTTAGGTGGATGGTAGAATTACTAAAAAAAAATAGATACTTATTGAAAAAATAAATAAATTATTAAGAAACGAATGGAGTATAATTTTGTAATTACATTTACACCTAATTTTCTTCCATATTAGTTAGAGTTCTTATTGGAAATTTATCAGCATCATACTAATAGTCTAAGTAACAAATGAAACTATTATAAATATTATATGGAAGTATTACAAATAATACATAATATATAAAATATTAGTATATATTGTATTAATATGTATTTTTTATTCTATTTTACATATATATTGTAAATTCATATCTAATGTACTATCTAGTATATGTTACTGTCTTATGAGTGCAATGTTGATTATATTTAATATTTTCTCCGTCGTATAAGTAAGTATTTATTTGTTTTTTTCACGTAGTTTAAGGTATATTAATATTATATTGATATATAATATGAATAAAGTAAAAATGACTAAAATAACCTTATTAATATGGTGTAATATAAAGATAATGACATTTGTGTAATATATTCTAAGTTACAAGGGTATTTGTAGTGTTAAGTAGATAGTACGATTACTAAAAAATGAAATAAATACTTTGTTATGGAACGGACCAAAATAAAAAAAATGGATAATTTGTTATGGGACAGAAGAAGTATATTATATATTACTTTGTTATGAGCGCAATGTTGATTATATTTAATATGTTGACTGGAATGTATTCATTAAGACTCGTAAAAATATATTATCTCCGTCCGGCTCTGAGAGTCCTATTTATTTTATATGTGTTGATCTTTAAATATTAATTATTATATAAAAATGTAGTACAAATTAAAAAAAAAAAATTACAAAAATACTTTTATTAGTGTCTTATAGTACTAAGAAAATGACATTTGTACAAAAAAAAAAATTATATAAATATAAAGATATCTTTAAAGTTAGTACAATGACGCAAAAGGTAAATGTAATCCTTAGAGGTGGACGGGGGGAATATATTTTAGTCATTTGTTGAATGCTTTCATATGATTATAGAAATACATGTATTCATAAAAGCTCATTTGTTTACATGTATTTTCAAATTAATTTTTAGCATTATTAATAAATAATGTATATTTTTTTTTTTTTTTAAAGATCATGCAGGCTCTTCTTATATGGTGATCAATCTTCCTCTTTAAAAATTTATAAAATATATATATATATATATATCATTTTTAAAAATTCATATTGAACATTATTTTCGTATATAATCTTATATGTAACAATTACTTTTATATAAAAATATTAATATAAAAAATATGAATGTTTATTGCTTTGGGCAAAAATATAAAAAATATGAAGTATGTAAAAATATAAAAAATGATGTTTATTGCTTCTCAAAAAATATAAGAAAAATATTGTATACCTCTCACAAGTCCAACCCCTATACCACCGGATAAATCATTTTTAATAAACCATAAACCTCTCTGCCCTCAGAAGAATATTCAATTATTTTGCTTGTTTTGATTTGTAATTATTTTAATTAAGATTAAATTGCAATTACATGTAAAACAAAACATTAATTAAAAAAACAAATAAATAGGTGTCATGACTCATGAGAGAGGGTCGGCCCAACACGGTTTTTAAATGGGCCTGAACAGTTAGGCCCAAGCTCAATTCCATTTGAAATTGGATCATGTCGGGCGGATCTAATTTTTTAATTTTAATTTTTTTTATTTTTTAGATTAATTTAATAAAAGTTGTATTCTAATAGTCTAATTAGGAATTGAACGCACAACCCTATGTATATAAGATATAAACTTTATCATCAAATATACCTTAACTTTTACTACTCTTCATTAATTAAGATATATATATATATAATGATATGAAATTTTAAATATTAATTTTATTCAAGCGGGTCGAGTTAAGTACGATCTAAGTATCATGGGTCAGACACAGTTCGGTTCATTGGCAGATTAGAGATAATTCAAAAAATTTTAAACTTTTTTTTAGAGGTCCAAATACAATTTATTCTGTGTCTATTTTAATAAATAGAAAAAAAAATTAACAATTCAATTAAAAACACTTCCTTAGTCTTATTTACAATGTATATATATTTATATTTTGATTTCTTAAAAATAATAATTTCAAAAATATTTAATTTTATTTCACAAATATTTTTATTTTACTATTATATTATTATTTGTATACTAACAATAAAAAAGAAAAAAATGTCTTACACCTATTTTAATAGTCTATTATAATTAAAATACAATTTTTTTTATTTTAATATAAAAGGAAATATATATAGCTTCAAATTGTTTAAAGAAATATTATTTTGTTTATTTAAAAATCAAAAAATAAAAATAGAGCGTACCTGTTTGCACACGTGCTGACGCATTATATTTGATTATGTTCGCTTCTCTCTCCCTGGGTGCTTTCTCTGTATATATATATGGGTTGTGGTTTGTGTGAAAATTTTCATCGAGGCGTCGGGACTTTGCGAAAATGAACAAATTGCTGAAATGGGGATTGAAGAATCGGAAGGAGCCCGGCGTCACCATCAGAGAGATGCTCGCAATGCTGCAAGCTAATCTCAACAAAAACGACACACGCCCCCTCGTCCATCTCGGCATCGGCGACCCCTCCGTCCACCCATGCTTCCGAACCACTCCCCTCGCCGAAAACGCCATTGTCCACTCCCTCCGCTCTTCGCACTTCAATGGCTACGCCCCCAGCGCTGGCATTTCCGCCGCCCGAAGGTCTCTGCATTTGCATTTGCATTTGCTTTGCGCTTTTCATAGATCCACGTTTCATGATGTCCATCTTCTCGCGATTAATTTCAGTAATTTCGTTATCAAATTATTTGTTCACTGGTAAATTGATTTTAGGGCTTTTTTTCCCCCAAATTTATTGAATCATTCCGACGTAAGAAGAAATGTTGTTGGATAGCAGGGCGGTTGCAGATTACCTTTGTGAGGATCTTCCATACAAGCTGTCGGAGGAGGACGTCTTTCTCACCGCTGGCGGTAATCACGCGATTGAGATTCTGTTAACCGTCCTTGCTCGGCCTGGTGCGAATATCTTGTTTCCTAGGCCAGGGTATCCGTTGTACGAGGCTAGGGCTGAGTTCAGCGGTCTTGAGGTCCGCCATTTCGACCTCGTACCGGACAGAGGTTGGGAGGTTGATCTCGACGCCATTGAAGCTCTGGCCGACGACAAAACCATTGCAATGGTTACGATCAATCCCGGGAATCCGTGTGGCAACGTTTTCACATTTGAGCATATGCAGAGAGTGAGGGAACTAAGAGCATTATATAATTTGTTATTACAGTGGTGGATTTTATGGTAACTCTACTGAAGTTTTGTTGTTTCGAAATATATGTGTTTCTCTTAAGATTGCAGAGACTGCTCGAAGGAAAGGGATTATTTTAATTGCCGACGAAGTTTACGGCCATCTTGTGTTTGGAGACAGCAAGTTTGTCCCAATGGGAACACTAGGATCCGTTGCTCCGATTCTGACATTGGGAACCCTTTCGAAGAGATGGCTTGTTCCTGGCTGGCGATTGGGTTGGATTGCAGCGACCGATCCGCAGGGAATCCTTAGTGAATCTGGGGTTAAGATCGATTTCCTCATACCTTATCCATCAATTTTATGTTTTTGTGTTTCATGATATACATATTCAAGAATAGTCGAAATGTGTTCAAGTAGAGATGAACTGAATCAGTTCCTGTTGTTGTTGTTGTCGTCCATTTAGGTTACTGATTCCATTCGGGACTTTATGGGCCTAACGGCAGATCCTGCAACGATCATTCAGGTATAAATCTTCCAAGATTATCGTTTTTAATGGCTTGCAATTACGTTGAGAATCTAAATCAAATTGATTTTTTGAACTTGTGATTGGTGGCTTTTTATTTGGGAGACTGAACATTCTTGATATGAAATGAAGTGTAACATATATATATATATCGTAATCGGGTATTTGGAACCTTTTATGCATAATCGACGTAAATGACAGTGCAAGAAACTATCCTTATTCAGGGAGCTGTCCCTGAAATCCTCAAGAATTCACCGCAAAGTTTCTTCTTAAAAACCAACAATTTGCTGAGAGAGGCTGCGGATGTATGCTACACAAAAGTCAGCGAAATTCCTTCCCTTAAATGCTCGCACAGACCCGAAGGAGCCATGTCCACAATGGTGAGGACTTGAGCAAGAAATCTTTGTTCTTTTGTTATTTAATTTCATTCAACAAATTTTCTGGTTACGAACATCAGCAATGTGTCTGTTATAGGTTAAGTTAAATCTCTCAACGCTCGATGGCGTGGTGGATGACATGGACTTTGCTCTCAAGCTTGCGAAGGAGGAATCCGTTCTCGTCATGCCAGGTCAGCGAATGTGTATATATGTATATATATTTGTTTTAGCTGCTCGATCGCTGAAAATGAGATACTGATTCGTGGTTGTATTGCAGGGACGGTCGTGGGGCTAAAGAACTGGCTGCGCGTAAGCTTTGCCGTGGAGCTCGACGCCCTCAAGGTTGGATTCGAGAGAATAGGAGAATTCTCTTCACGGCATGCCAAGAAGTAATTGCTTCAAAACTCCCTTCTTCTTCTCCTTCTTCTTCATCTTCTTCTTCCCCTGCTTTCGATTCTTTCTGGATAAAACACAGAGGCACGGTTTTGGCTTAACCTTGATGATAGCGTCCAAGTGTTTATTTGTATTTTGATTTGGTTTGAAAATTGAGATCTAGTGATGAAAATTGAAAATTGAAAATTGGTAGGAAATGGAATCCATCATGTTCTTATAAAAATATCATACATCTAACAATGGTGTGACTATTGATTTTTATTTTTTTTAGATAAAATAATTATTGAATATATATATGTGATGTTTTGGAATGTAAAAATTATAAAATTATATGATATAAAAATAAATAATATTTAAAATATAAGTTAAAGCAATTACTTGATATAATAAATTTTTTATATAAAAACTTATTAAAGGTAAATGACTTTATTTGTTCATGATTAAAAGGAATATAGTTTTTTATTGTAAAGTATCATTAAAATTGGGTGTGATTGTTTTGTATTATTTGATGTATATATATATATATATACCCTCGGTCCCATTTTTTCATTTTCGTCTGTACCAAAACAATTATTTTGTTTTCTTATTTAGTAGCCGTGGTCTCATTTTATAACAAAATTATTCCTACTTTTTCATACTGCTCTAACATACTCTTTAAAATCCTTCAAAAAAGTAAAGGCATTTTAGTCATTTACATTCTACCTTATACAATTTTCGTGCCAACTCTCAATAAGACACTTCTTTTCGTACAGAGGTAATATTTTTTATATAAATTACGAAAATGGTGTCTTTAATATATTACATATTATTGTTGTCTTTCTATGACTTACTAAAATATTCTCCCTCCGTCCAGTCAAAAAGTATACATATTTCTATTTTGGGATGTCCAATTACAAAGTAACCATTTCATTAAATACTCATTTTTTTCACAAATACCCCTATTTTACATCACATTATTACTTTTATGCCAAAAAAGTAAGAGCAAAAATATAATTTTACTATTTTTACCTACCCACTATAATTAAAATATTATTATTCCTTGATTACCGCGCCAAAAGTAATTGTATATTTTTAGCTTAGACGGAGGAAGTATATGGTATATACTTATATTAATCTATTATATTTTTTATATTTATCATAAATAATATCAATAAAAATAATTGAACTAAACAAACCCAAAGTTCAAACAATTAGTATTATTTCTTTTAAAAAGAAACGAATACCACAAGTAAATACATCTAATTTTCTTAAATTGGTAAAATAAATTATACTCCCTCAGTGCCGCCACATATGACCTCATTTTTTTTTTTTTTTACGTCTTATAAAAGATGATCTTTTTTCGTTTTTAGCAAATTTATCAATCTTAAACATACTTAACAAATATAAATTAATTTAATTAAACTTCTAATATCTTACACACGTAAGACCCACTCAAAACCCCTTTATTTATATATTTCTCCTCAATTAACAAATATTTTTATCTATCTTTAAACCTCCTCATTTTTTATAAAACTAAATATTTTTTTATAAATCTCCTCAAAACCCCTTTATTTATAAATATATTTTTTTTATTCATTTCTATTATATAAAATTCTATTCTCTACCAAATGATATCCATATTGCATATATTCTATTGAGATATAATTGTAAAAATATTTAAAATACCAACAACACTACACATATAAAAAAATAATAAAATATTATCTTTAACTTATTATTAATAATTTAATAAGCTATACTGCCTAAAATACAGTGTCCTAACAAAAGGCTTTATCTTCGGCGGACAGAGGGAGTACATTCCACATTAGATGGTAGACACGGAATTTAGAATAATTATAATTAATAGATAATTAAGAATATATTAATGAAAATAATTATTAATTAGATTAAAGTTAAAATAACTAATTAGTTTAATTAAAATTTAAAAAAATTAAAATTAAAAAATTTAAAATGAGATTAAAATGTATAATTATTTTAAAAAAAAAAAGTGACGTGGGATGTGGACGGACAGACCATGTAGACATAGTAGGTGGGACAGAGGGAGTAATATAATGAGTAATAAAGTAGAAAAGAAATACAAAGTTTGTTTGTTTTGTATTTTGGTTCGGAGGAAATCTTTTTTTATATAAAATATAAAAAATTGCGTAAATAATATAAAAATAATAAATATAAATAATATATTAATTTTTTAAAATAATATATTGCATATTTTTTTTGGAAAAAAAAACACTCACATAATTTGTTCATTTTCTTTTGGAGAATTTCTTCGGATTTTTCCTATTCATTCAATTTTTTCTTAAAATAAATATCAAATCAAATACCTATTTTTTTTATATTATACTAAAAATTAATTTTACATTAAAAATATCACATCAAACACCTATTTATATCAAATCATACAACTATTTTAATTCAAAATTTTTACTATTCAAATCTCGACTCAAACTTCAAACGCAAAACAAGGTTTGAGTCAAATTCTATGGCTTTTAGAATGTAATTTGAAGAGTTCTCTCAGAGTTGTAATATCACAACGTCGTAGTCAGAATGAGTGTTATAAAAACTTGATAATTTAATATAAAATATTATTTTATATCATTTTTTATATTTAATATAAAAAATATATTCATTATATATACAAATGAACCTACTTAAAAAAATACACCCTCAATATTCCATTATTTACAAAATTAACAGAAAAATAAATGCTGTATGTGTATATATTTTTTTTGCTTTGAAATTAGATATATAAAAAAATATATTAAAAAATATGTAGGTAAATTGTGATTGGTTGAAATAAATTTGAATTTGTGTTTGTATAAATAAATTATTAATAAATTTCAAATTTTAAGTTATAATTAATTAAATTATTATTTATTTATTATTTTTGTAAAGATAGTGACTTTTTCGTAAAAGTAATATATGAATGTTAACAAATCTAATTATAATAAAAATTGAGAAAATAATAAAAAAATAATAGAAAGGTAATTGTAACACATGATTCTATGTTATGTACTGTTCATAAATTTTTTCTCCAAAAAACATTAAATTAAATATTTTTTATTTTTTATATTCAAAATATCACATTAATACATATATATATCACATTAAATAACTATTCAAACTCAAATTTTTTTTTTATTTAAACATAAAAAAAATCAATTAATTTTGTAAAAATCATCCAGAAAACAGTGCTACATAATTTGGGCCGGCCCATTAGAAATATCCGATTTATAGGACGTGGCCCATTACGCTCAATAGCATGGTTCATTTCCTACAAAACTTTTCTTTGCTTGACGAGGGGGAAAACTCCCTGTACTTCACTTCCTTCATCCTCGTTTCCTAGGGCTTACTCCTCGCTGCAGTTCTCTTTTGATTCTTCACCTTCGAAGATTTCAAATTCTTTACCGCTTTGTTCGATTCATTATCTGGGTTCGAGTTTAATTTAATCGGATTTTAGCTTAGTTTATCGTACATGGCACCGGCGGAACCCAACAACAGAGGCGGCGCCAGTGCTGGATCCACTAAGGAGCAGAATTCCGTCAAGCCGCCTTCTAAGGACCCCAAAAAGAAGGATGAGAAGAAGGACGAAGATCTTGTAAGTTATTTGGTTATTTGCGCGGAGGAAACTCTGGGGCTTTTGTTAGGGTTATTGGTTCCAGTTTGAAGTGTGAGTCATGGATCTTGTTTAATGTTTGTATTGTGTGTCAGTCGGAGGAGGACTTGGCGTTGAAGCAGCAATTGGAGTTGTACGTGGAGAGGGTGCAGGATTCAGATCCTGGCCTGCAGAAAGTTGCGCTGGAGAGCATGAGGTATTTAGTTTTTCACTTTTGAAACCAAATAGATGGTTGATTCTGCTACTGCAATTATATGGAAATTGGGCAATTTAATTCTGGCCCATGAATTTCAATCCGGATGAACAGTTCTAAAAATTCATCCCCTTGAACTGGAGAAAGGTTAAAAGAATTTATTTTTATCTTCTAGTCAATTCAATTTCATCAGGAAAAAATTAACCATGCTAAATTGATGTAAGTTATTTTTGCTAGCCACACTGAGTAATATCTTGCAGTTCGTATCTCCTATTCTCCAATGTCATGAGAATGCTATGCATTGTTTCCGTTAAAAAGTTTAGTCTCTATTGAAACAAACATGTATTATGCTGTGGATTTACTATTTTGGACATAGGTATCATCGAAGTTCCATAGTAGAAACATTTTAATTGAACATTTTATTGATTGATAACAAGTTTATTATTTAGTTCATAAATGCCCCATCTTTTATGCATTCCTGTTAGAAGGTTTTGTTCATGTGGGTTTTGCAAATGGTGTTCTTGTATCTGAGTTTTTTAGGCCATTGATTTTGCATCAATTTTGCCTTCAATGAAACTTACAGTTACACTTCTATAGGATTCTTTTTTCTTTTTTTTTTTTTCACTCTGTGTCTCTTCTTTTTATGCTGTTTTGCCATTACCTCTGATATAATATATTGAATTTGGCCTTCTCTACTGCTAGCTTTAGGTAGAAGTTACCAGTGAGCTTATATTCTATTCTTCACTAGAGCCAGTCTAGGAAAACTCATTGAACTTGGCTATACCCTAAATATGTAATGTGTACTTGCCTCAGTTTCTTAGTTGAGATTCCTGCAATTCATTTATTAAAGCTTGAGGAACACATCTTGTTTTCACTCTTTGACGTCGTGATACATTTTCCACTCCTTTGTCTTTACATCCATCCATAACACCCCCTCTCAGCTGGCCTTTAGTTTTGATTTGTTTTCACAATAATCTAAGGCAATGCCTTGTTTCATACCAAGGCTTGGAGGTAACATTGTAACTTGTTTTGGAGGATAACTGTTATGTTGATGGGTCACCATGGCCTTGATGCCATGTTGAAAAGTGGAAAATGTCAAGGCTGTTTGGATATGATTTATACTTAAATGTTCTCCCCCCCCCCCCCCTTTCCGCAAAAAAAAAAAAAAAAAAAAAAAGATTTTCTCTATTCTATTCTCTTTAAATATATCCCCCCCCTCCGCAAAAAAAAAAAAAAAAAAAAGATTTTCTCTATTCTATTCTCTTTAAATATATAGTGCAGATTTATTTATCTCAACGAACTTTTAGTTATTATTAGTGCATGCCTCTATCAATATTTGTATCTCAACGAACTTTTAGTTATTATTAGTGCATGCCTCTATCAATATTTGTTGTTTGTTTTAACTTTTAATGGTTACTTGTCATATCTGTGTTGAACATAATTTAGTTGTCAACTAGTTCTTTTTGATTTAATCAGTCCATCATGCTTTTCATCCATATATTTGTTCACCAGGTAGGTTAGCAGCGCAAGAAAAAACCCCATTACTTAAAATTAGATAAATACACTAAATATCTTGTGGACACAGCTCAACTTATTGAGCCCATCTACAAGGTACTTACTTTGTAAACTCATCTGGAGATAACTCTGACATTGTGTTTTCTGCTCTAGGCAAGAAATACGTACTTCAACAAGTTCAATGACTTCAGTTCCAAAGCCGTTGAAGTTCTTACGCCCCAATTATGGAACTCTACAAGCACATTATGAAAGCATGGCTGATTCAGAATTAAAGGTGATTATTTTTCGTTTTTTTATTTCCCACCTCCATCTTTTATACAGTTTCTCACTTTTCTAACATGCGTTGCCTCTCCTCAGAAACTTCTTGCAGACATACTTTCTGTCTTGGCCTTGACAATGTCCCCGGAAGGAGAAAGGGTATGCCCTATCATTTTGCTAAATAAGTGCATTTGCAACTTTCCTGTACCTTAATGGTACTTTTTTCTTCTTAATTGACACCAAAATACCAGATGAAAAAAGACTTACTTTAACTTGATTCAAATGCCAATATTTTCAGGAGAGCTTGAAATACAGATTAAAAGGTTCAGAGGGGGATATTGGTTCATGGGGCCATGAGTATGTCAGGTGAGCGAACGATTCCCTGTGTTAATTGTTGGAGAAGGTGTATGCATGATAAGGTTAAACCTGAGTTTTAGAAATGTTTGTCTTAAATGTCAAGATATAATGAATTTTTCATTGTCATTTTCCAGGTTTCATACTCTATTTTCAAGAAAGCAGATTCATTTTTTAAATTTATGCATAGTATACTTACAGTAAATGGTCTCTATGATGTGTTCTGTTTTATTTTTGATGTATAATACTCCATGGTGGTTTTCTCTTTTTTTTTTTTTCGTTAATGAGCATTGCATGTGGAGGCGTTGATTACTTTGTCTATTGCCTCACCTTTGAGAATGCTTGATGACATCTGCTTAAGAGACTTCTATAGTTTTTGTATATAAAGATTTAGTCATTCTGATTTTTTTCTTTCGTTCCTTTTATTTTTTATTTTTAATATGAACACAGGAATCTGGCAGGGGAAATTTCCCAAGAGTTCGCAAAAAGGCAGGTTGGAATTCCGACTCTTGTTTGACCCTCTGCACGTATTTGATTTGTTTTCCTGGCTATCTGTGCATCAGATTCTGATATGCGGAAATCACTTGTAATTGACGAATAATTGCTTTAGTTACAATCAGCAGTAACTTTGGGTATATTTGAACTTCTACTATTTCTTTTAACCTGAATATCATATGTATTTTAAGTAATGAAGCATTGTTTTCAATGATTGGTAAAGTCTTTTTCTATTTGACTTTGTTAATTATTGTCCTTGGTAGTTAGTGTTGGCGTGTCACATAACTTAAAGGCTAAGGGTATTATTCAATTGCTTTAAAGTATACTAGTATAGTGTCCTGACTATTTTAGCTCATTTCAAGAGGTAAGTTGTTCCTTGGTAGTTAATGTTGCTGTTTACTTTGCCAAAACGCTCCTGGTTTGAGTCAGTTGTTTAACGCCGAGTAATTATGTATTATGTTATCTGCAAGGGAAATTAAGACAGCTGACATCTCATTGCTTCTAAATATGGATAACTTTACAGTATTTCTGGATGTCTTCATCTAATTTTGCTACATTATGGCTGCGGTCACCCCATTCAAAACAATTATTATACATCTTTATGTTTGAAAATAGTATATATAAACATATGTGTTTGTGTGTGTGTGTTTTTAAGGCACATAGTGCTCTAATTATAGTAGGAGAAGTTTATATTAGACATTATTACCTAAATCTACCCAAGGTTTAAATTATGTCAAGCTTTGTAGTTATGTGATCTATAAGTGATTGTTCTTGCTCTCTAGTCATTTTTGTTCAATCTGTGTAGATTAAATAGAACTCCATGAAAGTAATATCTGGTTATTTTTTCAATCAAATACACACCGAATATACCAAACTAAACAAGAATCCTGATCATCATATAACCAATCTTCATATCTTCTATTCATCAACTGCGTGCATGCTTTCATTCTTGTTTTAATTCAAGTGTGGCTGTTTCTCAGTAGGATTTTTCAAGTAACATGTGCAATCTTAATAATCTTTTTGTTTTGACAAAAAGATTTAGGCTAGAGTTATATATATGTAAAACTTGCTTTAGGACATATGTAGTTTGTTTATAAGGCAATAAGCTTATCACATGCTTATTATTTTATAATTTCTTATTGTTTGAGTAATGAAACTTCGTAGCTGCAACAATTTGAGAACAATAATGCAAATTTATGTTATAAAGATCTTGTCTAATAGAATATTATGGTAAAAAAAATGAATCTTTGATGGTTATATGGAGCTGTATAATAGACAAATGAAAACACACTGTACTTCTACATTTATGCAGGCATAGTATAAAGCTATGTATTGGTGCATAGACATTCTATCAAACATAAACAATCTCCAAAGTTTTGCATGATTTGACAATTTTTGTTTGATATGAAGCTAAACTATACTAATTTTTCTTGTGAAATGATAATTGAATGTGTGCATGTGATGTTCTGCTTAAGAAAGCTTATTAACAGAGTTGGACTATGTTTGCACTTCAAAATTAGTTTCACTCAGGCGTGAAATGTGCTCCTTTGGAATGTTAAATGGTCAGTAGTTTCTTATCATTCTATTCACAATCTTTTTAGAGTGAAGAAGCCCCAGTTGATGATCTGATGGATTTGGTGGTACAAATTGTTGCTTTCCATATGAAGGTATGATTCTTCCAGCAATTATGAAGTTAATTCTATTTTAATGTGTAAGAACAGATGACTTGGTTTTGTTTTACCAATCAGTTGGAAAATGGCATGACCTAGAATACTGATTTTTTTGGCATGTGGCACTTTCTTTCTCTTTTTGTTTTTATTATTTTCATGATTAGAAGATTATCTATTCTGACATATTCATGCATCACAGCATAATGCAGAGCCTGAAGCAGTAGATCTTCTTATGGAGGTACTGTAACATCTCTTCAATTTTCCTCAGTTCTTTATGCTACTGTTTTTAATATTAGTATATACACATATATATTGTACTTTAGTGAAAACATATATGCAAATTGTTTTTATTTTTTAATTTTTTTGTTCAGGTTGAAGACCTTGATCTATTAGTGGAGCATGTGGATAATGCAAATTATAAGAGGACATGCCTCTATCTTACCAGTTCAGCGAAGTACGTACATACACAATTCATATATTTTTTTGTAGGGGATTTTTTTTTTTTTTTTTTTGTGTAAATATTTCTTCAACATGTTGATATTTATGACGCAGCATTTCAGATGAAATTATTTACTTGCTCAAATTTGTGTACGGATCCTTTGTACAAGAGAATCGCCTGTCCATTTCTTTATTATTCAGTTTAGATATACCTGCAAAGTTCTAATCCCGAGGGATGTACATGCCTAAGGCTTGAATGTTATTCAGTGGATGGTCACTGTTTATCAAAGTGTTTGTTTGAAATCAGATCAGTTGGGCATGAGGTTCTAAATCTTTGGCAAGTACAAGACAGAAAAGTGCTAGGCTGTTCATAATTTTGTGCTTCCTCAACTATACTTTCCCCCTCATTTAATAGTAAAAAGCTGTAGAACTCTAGACTGTTTAATTTATACAAAAGGTTATAATTTTCTGAAAGACCTATGCTTCAAGGTTATATTGCAAGTTTACCACAGATAGATTATTCAAATCAGTATATCACTTCATAGGATGGAATGAGGGTCGTAATTTTCTTAAGTCCTGCTCCAAATAGGATGAATTGACGTGTTACTATTCTCGTACCCATCTGTTTACTTTCTGGTTCTCTTTTAGCAATTTTTGTTACTCATGTTTGGATCCTGGGTGTTGATTCTTTCAGTAAGAAACAGGTTTTTCAGATTTTTTGTCTATTGGAATTCATAAAATGGTGCTTAGATATGTTCTTTTACTATCGCTTATTAGCTATTGAATATCACATAAAAAATAACTATCAACAAATTTTTTATTTTATTTAATTTTTATGCTGCTTAGGTATCTTCCCGGACCGGATGACATTTTAGTTCTAGATATTGCCCACACAATCTATATGAAATTTGGGGAATATCAACGAGCACTGCAGATTGCTTTGTATCTTGATAATATACAGGTTTGTGCTTTTGGTGATTATGAAATGTTCATTTTTATTGTTTTATATTAACAATAGTAAGTTGGAAGCATTCATGTGAGCACCGTGACTACAAAATGTGGATCATAAATATTGTACTGTGCTCAATAATTAGTCAAATTATGATACATTGCTGATAGGTGTTCCCTGTCCTTTTGTTTCTTTTAATCTTGCAGTATATCAAACAACTTTTCCAAACTTGTAATGATCCTCTCCAAAGGAAGCAGTTTTGTTTTATCCTGGCTCGCCATGTAAGTATCTGCAACTTTTGTACTTTTTATTTAATTCTTGATTTCTATTAGTTTGATGACATGTTATGTTGAAACATACATTGTTAGCTATGTTGAGAGGAATACTCACTCCTTATGCTTGGTGTAGTCACAAAAGTCTGTAATCCCAATAGAAAAAGTGCACCGTTTTAATGTATTTCAGAGACTAAGATACACATGATCACTTCACAACATGTGCTATGGGCTTAATGCTTCAACTAAACGTAAGTGAAAATGTTTTATTTGGAGGCTGAACTAATTTTCAGTGTGCCTGGAACTATAAGCTCTTTTACGTAACCAAAATTTGTTTTTACTTTTCCCTTTATGTTGTGCTTTTGGCATTTTAAAATAATGTTTCTCAGAGACTAATATACTTATGGACGCTTTTCAACATGTACTATGGGTTTATTCCTCATAACTAAGTTTCAATGCAAATACTTTGTTCGAAGGCTGAACAAAGTTTAGTGTCACTGAAAGTATAAGCACTTTTATTTTACCAAACAATAATTTTCCTTTCCCATTTACATTGTGGTCTTGGTTTTGTTGGTCCACAGGGCGTAGCATTTTTTGAGCTCGATGAAGAATTGTGTCCTGATGAGAGTGAAAGAGAGGCTTTGCAAGAAATCATCAATAACACTAAGTTGAGTGAAGGCTATCTTACTCTTGCTCGAGATATTGAAGTTATGGAACCCAAATCTCCAGAGGATATTTATAAGGTATATTAATTACCCTTTGACCATTTTGAATTGTATTTATGGATATTGGAGCTTTTCTTCTGCTCTAGTTGATGAAATCCTATTCTGCCTTCATGTGGGCCTGATGTTATTGGCATTTGCTACTGACTATTTAATTAGGTTAATGCATTCGATTCTCCCAATCAAAAGAACACAACTATAGATATAAATACATTTTGAATTCTAAAAGTTTCTGTGATTTCTCAGGCTCATCTGCTTGATGGACGTGGTAGTGGTGGGGGATCTGTTGATTCAGCCAGACAAAATTTGGCAGCAACATTTGTGAATGCATTCGTGAATGCTGGGTTTTGTCAGGTTTGTATAACTTTTTGTGGACTTAATGAGTGGATTATAAGCTTTATTCATTCAGCTTAATAATTTTTACTCATATTCTTTATATTTGTGTAGGATAAATTGATGACAGTTGCCTCTGAAGCACCTAGTGGTAGTTCTTCTACAAGTTGGCTGTTTAAAAATAAAGAGCATGGAAAGGCTAGTGCTGCAGCAAGTCTGGTTTGTGCCTTAACCTTTTATTTTATATTATTACATATTTTTTTGAGTGGTTGGACAACCTCATTTTGTTTTCTGGCATTGTAGGGCATGATTCTGCTTTGGGATGTTGATGCTGGACTTGCACAACTTGACAAATATTTCCACAGCACGGATACTCATGTGATTGCAGGCGCATTGTTAGGCGTTGGGATTGTGAATTCCAACGTCCGGAATGAGTGTGATCCTGTAAGATTTGAATTTTTATTCCAGTTGCAATTTGCACATATTTGTACCAAATCATGGGCAGCAAAATATAATTAGCGCTGTATCATGGCCAGCATAATGTAATAAGAAATGAAACTGTGTTCTATATATGTTTATTTATGATTAGTATCTCTTTTCTGACATTTGAACAAGTTTATTTTCTATTCTTTTTCATTTTTCGCCAGGCATTGGCTCTCTTGTCTGAATATGTAGACAAAGAAGACACTTCAATTAAAATAGGTGCTGTAATGGGCTTAGGTCTGGCTTATGCAGGTTCTCAGAATGAGCAAGTGAGTCCTCTGTGTAAAGAATAAACTGTGCTCTTACTGCTTGCGTACTTGACTAACCTAGTTTTTTAGAATTACTAAATTGATCATTGAGGGCATTCTCAGGTTCGTAACATATTAATGCCCTTACTTGGAGATGGAAAATACTCACTAGATGTGATTGCTTTTACTGCAATCTCCCTTGGATTGGTGTATGTTGGATCCTGCAATGAAGAGGTTGCACAGGCAATCATTTTTGCATTGATGGACCGAAGTGAGTCCGAATTGGGGGACCCACTTGCTCGGTTCTTGACATTGGGTCTTGGTCTGCTTTATCTTGGGAAACAGGTAACATGCTCACTTCCCACATGCATTAAGCTATTATACAACATATATATTTCCCTGACTCATCAAGGTAATGTCAAAGCTATTAGAATTTTAAGGCGTTAATCCTTGGCCTTTTACTGTTCTAACACTCCATACCCTCTGTGACAGGACAATGTCGAAGCTACAACTGAGGTTTCAAAGACGTTTAATGAAAAGATTAGGAAACATTGTGACATGATCCTGCTTTCATGTGCATATGCAGGAACTGGCAATGTTCTCAAGGTTGTAAACAGTTGCGGTAACATTTTTTCCTTGCCAATTGAGTTTCTAACTGCCTTTCCTTGTTACAGGTGCAACATTTCCTTGGTCAGTGTGCCCAGCATCATGAGAAGGGGGAAGCATACCAGGGGCCCGCTGTTCTTGGAATTGCTATGGTGGCAATGGCAGAAGAGCTGGGACTTGAAATGGCTATTCGATCATTGGAACATCTGTTGCAATATGGAGAGCAGAACATTAGAAGGGCTGTCCCCTTGGCTCTGGGCCTCCTTTGCATTTCAAATCCAAAGGTAATATTAGCTGATGACTCTTGATCTTGTGATTCTTGTTACAATATGATCTAAGTTAGAGGTATAAATTCATGACGTTCTGTCTTATCCAATTCAGAGATATATTATCTTGCTCCACTCCTCTGATAAGCTTTTAAGTTTCAAGCCAAATCCACAACGAGGGCACTTGCTGAAACTTTCTTCTTGTGCTATGACATGTGCATTTCTTGGAAGTGAAAACTGCCTGATACTGCTATTGAATGGCATAACTAGTATGCCATTGAGTGCTCTCTTTTTTGTGAACTTTCTTAATTATGTTTCAGAATACAGAGGTGTATTTTTTATTTTTTATTTTTTGATCGGAAGCGGAGGTGTACATGATTCAACAATACTTGGCAAAGGCTTAATTACCCCTTTTTTGTTATATGCTTTACTTGTTTGACCTCTGGTTCTGTGAACAGGTCAATGTTATGGACACATTAAGCAGGCTCAGCCATGATGCAGACACAGAAGTTGCAATGGTAATGTTACACATTGGCAGGCTAGGTTCTTTCAGTTCACATTGTTCATGATTTTGTGTGGAAATGATGATTTATTTAAATTGATACATTCAATGTAGGCTGCCATCATTTCATTGGGTTTGATAGGCGCTGGAACCAACAATGCAAGAATAGCTGGAATGCTTCGCAATTTGTCGAGCTATTACTACAAAGATGCCAGCCTTCTTTTTTGTGTATGGATTCAATTTGAGAAATTACCAAGATCTTCTATTGATACACATTTAATGAAATATTACTAATAAAATCTAATGCAATATATTTGCACATTATGCAGGTGCGAATTGCTCAAGGTCTTGTCCATCTAGGAAAGGGGTTGTTGACGCTTTCTCCATATCATTCTGAACGATTCCTGCTGTCTCCGTAAGTTGACCACTAATGACTATCCCATGAGAACATGACACCTTCAATTGTCATATTCCTTAATTTTGCAATAGATCAATTAATTTGTATATATTATGTGGATTTTAAATATTAGATATGTATATTTTATGTGAGAATGTTTAAAGTGCTAATAACTACCCACGTAGCAATGCAGTGAAGGTAAATAGATTTATTGTAGGAGAGAATAGTGTTTAATGTCTGCAAAAATGTAGTAAAATTGATTTCGTGAACATATTCAAGAAACCAAACCCTTGAATATAAACTATGAGAATAGTGAAAGGTTTTAAATTTTCAAATGTTTTTCGGAACCATACCAATCTAAACATAAACTATGAGAATCATTTTATTTTTAGTTCCTACATCTGTTGCACTGGACAAGCACTCAATGTTTGCTCAAAAAAGAATGTAAAATCATAGATCCGACGAAGGGATACTTAATATAGTTCTCTGATGACTTTCTTGCGAGTCACAATTTATTCCTATGTTGATTTTCTTTTAGTCCACTGCATTATGTGTCTTGATTGTCTTCTATATTGACTTGACCTGCATTCTGTCGTCTTCTAGGACATCACTGGCAGGACTAGTAATACTGACCCACGCGTGCCTTGATATGAAGGCCATAATCCTTGGGAAATATCATTATGTTCTATACTTCCTTGTTCTTGCCATGCAGGTATAGTGTGTCTACTGCCTTTTTGTACATGTTCCCTTCGTACTTTCTTGCTATCACCCCTGCTAACGCCTAGTGTCTTCCTCGGCAGCCAAGGATGCTGTTGACCGTGGATGAAAACTTGAAACCTCTGTCAGTGCCTGTCCGTGTGGGCCAAGCTGTCGATGTTGTCGGCCAAGCTGGTCGTCCCAAGACCATAACGGGCTTCCAGACCCACTCAACTCCTGTTCTCTTGTCTGCCGGTGATAGAGCAGAGCTTGCATCCGAGAAGTAAGATCCATGTTCATTTAATTGTTACATCAATTGTTCATTCTATAACCAAAGTTAACGTCCCATTCTGATTGATACCAATTGTGCTGCTGCAGATATGTCCCTGTATCACCTATCCTTGAGGGATTTGTCATCTTAAAAGAGAATCCCGAGTACACGGAAGAGAACTGACAAGCGATTAGGCTACTTAATTATTAAGCAATCCGGCTTGACATATCCCCATCTTCGTTCATCATTATCTTTTGGGTTGATCGATAGCTGATTGCGCCCAGTATCTCCGCTGGAAACTTCAGCAATATTTTCTGTGTGGCCGAGACGAACATGAGACAACCAATCTTTTGGCACTAGATGGGGTGATAGTAGTTTCTTTCTTTCGAATTTTTAGCTAAGGATAGTTGACAAATGTGCACTGAAATGAATCCTATATTGTTTGTCAACTGATTAACGTTTCATCTCATTATTATCATGTATGAACACCTCCCATTTTCCTTTCAAGTGTTGATCCTAAAGTTGAATTCACAAAAACGTGCACTGCTATGTGTTTGCTTGCTATTTTTTTATTTTTTTATTTTTTTCAGGGCTTTCTTATTGAAGCTGTTGATTTTTTTTTGTTTAGATAGAAATTGTTGGAGGTTTTTGGAATTTTAAAAGTTTGAAAAAAAAAAAAAAAGTTAATATTTGATTGATATTTTGGGAAAGAAAAAGTGAATAGTATAAATGAGAGGAAGTGTGTAATATGAATTTTTTTTACAGGGGCTTGCTTACAATGGAAAATAATAATTATATAATGTGTAGTCTTATTGTAGTTTACAGATGGCTGATGATGGATTAATTAAACATTTGGGCCCTTGTGACGTTAATTGGGCCTGATGGTCCAACTATTAGGCCCAAAACTATCTTAAATGGGGCGCCGCATTTTGCAGCCTCCGTCGCGAAAATGGCAACGTTGAAAGAGATTCTCACGAGGCGCCCGGTGGCGGCGACAATCCGCCTGACGGTGCCGGCGGGAGGGGCGAAGCCCGCGCCGCCGGTAGGTCCTGCCTTGGGTCAGTACAGGCTGAATCTGATGGCGTTCTGCAAGGACTTCAACGCCCGAACCCAGAAATACAAACCTGAGACTCCTATGGCCGTCACCATAACCGCCTTTACGGACAATACCTTCGAGTTCATTGTGAAGTCTCCCTCTGTTACGTGGTACTTGAAGAAGGCGGCGGGGATCGAGTCCGGCAGTAGCCGCCCCGGTCACGTAGCCGCCTCTACAATCACTCTGAAGCACGTGTACGAGATAGCCAAGATCAAGCAGGCCGATCCTTACTGCCAGTACATGTCGCTCGAGTCCATTTCGAAGTCCATCATTGGGACTGCCAATTCCATGGGAATTAAAGTTCAGAAGGAGCTCGATTAGGTTAGGGTAAATTATCCACTCCTCAATGAGAGTAATTTTGATTTGCTTTTATGCGCACTGCGTTTCTGTTTCTGCTTTGATTTGAATTACACAAGGGCTATATAAATTGGGCGTCTCTGCGATTCCTACAATCTATGAGAAATATGTGTTCATCGTTTCTGCATCTGATGAAATTCTTATCTCTGATCATCTGGGGATTTACTTGGCTTGTTAAAAAGATTGAATTCTTGTGATTCTGAATGCACCTTCACCTATATGGAGTCTTTAGTGAAAATTATTTGATGGTATAACAATAACTTGATCAATTCATTGCCTTGTACAAATGTGCATTCTTTCTTTATGATCAATTGGAATAGTTTATTGTAGTGTAGGGTAGTTTCCTCAAGCTGATGGTAATTTTTCACTAAGCAAGTTGGATGATGGATGGATAAGAGAAGCAAGCTCTTACAGAAAATCCACCTAGTTTTGCTACACTCTGAACCTTAATTTGATGTTTTTGCAATATGATTGAAATTGATGCTGGATTGGAAGAGGGGTTTGATCTTTGATGTTGATGTTGATGTTGATGGTGGTTATGGTTAAGGATTTTGCTTAGTGCAAGAAACTGTATCTGTATTGCTTGTATAGAGAGTGCGTTGTTGAAGATACAATGAGAAATGGAACATGTCGTAGCAACTCTTTATGCCCATCTCATGTTTTTAGAATGTAGAATGAAACTTGCACCATAAACTTGGAAGGTGTGTTCATTGTTTTTGTTTTGTGCCTTTTAGGTGAAAATAATAACAGTTGGATATGAAGTTATTATTCGATTATGTGTTTATTAGGAACAATGAGACTATATGCTAAAAAATTGAAATAAAAAACAAAGCCAATATCTTTTGTATATTATTATAAATGGGGGGTTAGGTCCCTAGTAGGTCAAAACGACACTTGAATTTAAACAGACACCACACATAGTTTCAAAGCATACGTGTGCTATGTGCTTTGAAATTATATTTGATGTAGTGAAATCAATGATAGTGTTGTGTGGCATGTCTTGCCGATTATACGAAACAATTATATTATATTAATATAAATTATCTGCTATTTTATACTCCCTCTCTGCCAGGTGAAATTAGTAGCGGCGCGCGGAATTTAAGAAAATTTGATTTATATAATTAATTAATGTAATATATATGTAATAAAATATTATTTTAACTATTTTTATTTGATGAAATATTGAAATAAAAATTGAAATATTTTTTATTTTATTTTATTTTATTTATTGAAATTATTTTATTTTTTAAAAAAATATTATTATATTGATTGTAAATTATAGAATTAGATAAAAAAATAAAATTAATTGTAATAATTTAACTACAAAAATAACCGTAGTAATACTAAAAATTTTAATATAAATAAAACATCAAATTTTTCGAATTTGATTGTTGATAAGGATAGTTCGATACTACGTACCAAAATTAATAACACATATTTTATATATCTTACCAAAATTTTTAGTATGCTATTTTATCATAATGAGTTATTGTACCAATAATTTGGTATACCGAATTTATAGATCAAATTCATGACGTTCTGTCTTATCCAATTCAGAGATATATTATCTTGCTCCACTCCTCTGATAAGCTTTTAAGTTTCAAGCCAAATCCACAACGTGGGCACTGGCTGAAACTTTCTTCTTGTGCTATGACATGTGCATTTCTTGGAAGTGAAAACTGCCTGATACTGCTATTGAATGGCATAACTAGTATGCCATTGAGTGCTCTCTTTTTTGTGAACTTTCTTAATTATGTTTCAGAATACAGAGGTGTATTTTTTATTTTTTATTTTTTGATCGGAAGCGGAGGTGTACATGATTCAACAATACTTGGCAAAGGCTTAATTACCCCTTTTTTGTTATATGCTTTACTTGTTTGACCTCTGGTTCTGTGAACAGGTCAATGTTATGGACACATTAAGCAGGCTCAGCCATGATGCAGACACAGAAGTTGCAATGGTAATGTTACACATTGGCAGGCAAGGTTCTTTCAGTTCACATTGTTCATGATTTTGTGTGGAAATGATGATTTATTTAAATTGATACATTCAATGTAGGCTGCCATCATTTCATTGGGTTTGATAGGCGCTGGAACCAACAATGCAAGAATAGCTGGAATGCTTCGCAATTTGTCGAGCTATTACTACAAAGATGCCAGCCTTCTTTTTTGTGTATGGATTCAATTTGAGAAATTACCAAGATCTTCTATTGATACACATTTAATGAAATATTACTAATAAAATCTAATGCAATATATTTGCACATTATGCAGGTGCGAATTGCTCAAGGTCTTGTCCATCTAGGAAAGGGGTTGTTGACGCTTTCTCCATATCATTCTGAACGATTCCTGCTGTCTCCGTAAGTTGACCACTAATGACTATCCCATGAGAACATGACACCTTCAATTGTCATATTCCTTAATTTTGCAATAGATCAATTAATTTGTATATATTATGTGGATTTTAAATATTAGATATGTATATTTTATGTGAGAATGTTTAAAGTGCTAATAACTACCCACGTAGCAATGCAGTGAAGGTAAATAGATTTATTGTAGGAGAGAATAGTGTTTAATGTCTGCAAAAATGTAGTAAAATTGATTTCGTGAACATATTCAAGAAACCAAACCCTTGAATATAAACTATGAGAATAGTGAAAGGTTTTAAATTTTCAAATGTTTTTCGGAACCATACCAATCTAAACATAAACTATGAGAATCATTTTATTTTTAGTTCCTACATCTGTTGCACTGGACAAGCACTCAATGTTTGCTCAAAAAAGAATGTAAAATCATAGATCCGACGAAGGGATACTTAATATAGTTCTCTGATGACTTTCTTGCGAGTCACAATTTATTCCTATGTTGATTTTCTTTTAGTCCACTGCATTATGTGTCTTGATTGTCTTCTATATTGACTTGACCTGCATTCTGTCGTCTTCTAGGACATCACTGGCAGGACTAGTAATACTGACCCACGCGTGCCTTGATATGAAGGCCATAATCCTTGGGAAATATCATTATGTTCTATACTTCCTTGTTCTTGCCATGCAGGTATAGTGTGTCTACTGCCTTTTTGTACATGTTCCCTTCGTACTTTCTTGCTATCACCCCTGCTAACGCCTAGTGTCTTCCTCGGCAGCCAAGGATGCTGTTGACCGTGGATGAAAACTTGAAACCTCTGTCAGTGCCTGTCCGTGTGGGCCAAGCTGTCGATGTTGTCGGCCAAGCTGGTCGTCCCAAGACCATAACGGGCTTCCAGACCCACTCAACTCCTGTTCTCTTGTCTGCCGGTGATAGAGCAGAGCTTGCATCCGAGAAGTAAGATCCATGTTCATTTAATTGTTACATCAATTGTTCATTCTATAACCAAAGTTAACGTCCCATTCTGATTGATACCAATTGTGCTGCTGCAGATATGTCCCTGTATCACCTATCCTTGAGGGATTTGTCATCTTAAAAGAGAATCCCGAGTACACGGAAGAGAACTGACAAGCGATTAGGCTACTTAATTATTAAGCAATCCGGCTTGACATATCCCCATCTTCGTTCATCATTATCTTTTGGGTTGATCGATAGCTGATTGCGCCCAGTATCTCCGCTGGAAACTTCAGCAATATTTTCTGTGTGGCCGAGACGAACATGAGACAACCAATCTTTTGGCACTAGATGGGGTGATAGTAGTTTCTTTCTTTCGAATTTTTAGCTTTTTAATATAAATTTTTGTATATATCATATTTTTTTATTATAATATTATTAAATTTAAATACATTTTTAATTAAAATATAAATAAAAAATATAACTTTTTTTTTTAAATTTTTTTCTAATTTAGATTATTTACAAATTAACTAAGGACTCTCCCCTATTTATACAATTTCATCCTAAAATAGACGGTCTAAATCGATTTAATCCTACATCAATTTTAAACTTTCCCTGTTCACCCATAATCAATTTACTTTAATATTATTATTTATAACTGAGCAAAAATAAAAGTTTGGTCCCAACGTCACATTAATTACTATTTTATTAATATTATTCTTATAGATATATTATGGAATTCCATATACTGCCATATGAATATTGCACTAACACGCCCGTGTTTTGATGCAATTTAATATAAGAATGTAACAATATGCTATATTGATCTTAAAAAACTATCTAAATTCCCAATTAATATGTCCTATTTTAGATTTGAGTATTTTTGTTTTGTAATGATTTCATATTGGAATCACCATTGTTCACTTCATATGATATTTAACAATATTTAAACAAAATTTCAAATCAATACCTAATTTCAAACCTCAATCCACCAATGTAACTTTCTTTCTTTCTTTTTTTTTTTTTTTTTTTTTTTTTTTTGGGACATATGACTATATATAGGCCCAGTAAAATTTAATTAAAGATGTTTAAAGGAGCTCAAAAATTGAAGGAAGAAGGATCAAGATATTGTTCAATTAACATGTAAGAAATGGCATGTGAAAGGAAAAGATTTCGAATTACTTGTTCCCATTCATTATTTTGATTTTACATGAAGCTATTCATGTAAGGAGAAGACAATTGTTATTCCAATTAGTGTATTAATGAAATTGTTAGTAGTGTTCGTTTCCTTTTTTTTTTTTTTTTTTTTTTTTTTTATAGTAGTGTTCATTTTATTTTTTTAATGACGTGAAAATTCGCAGCCACTATCCGAAAGTGTGCATTGGGTAAACCCTCGTCAAAGTACCTTGCAAACTAGGTCTGATAAGACAAATTACACTAGGCGAACTATGTATGACAGGTAACCTGGAGACGTCGGGGATTTGAATGGAAGTAAACTTGATGTTCTCTCTTTCTTTTCTTTCCTTTTTTTTTTTTTCCCAATATGATTAAAAGGTTTTGGATTTAATTTTATGCTAACATTTACTTACTATAAGAGAAGACCATGTCATCAAAATAAGAAAAGTTGTGATTTTATTTGTCTAAGTATGCTACAATAGATTTTTCTACTTGGAGTTAATTAATCAACTATGTTTTAATATTTATGTGTATCATGTTTTAATTAGACTTCCTATATAACTTTTATTATTTATAATTCGAAAATTAAATAAATTATTTTAGTCTTTAAGTAAATCTCAATCACATCAAAATTATCATAACAAATGTTTAATGATTCTCAATGTTGCTAGAAAGCTATTTTATGCTAGCCAATGATACTCTTATATGTATGTTGATAAAAATTAATTAGTTATATTAAATATGAACTTCAATCTTCATTTAATAAGCATCATCATCAACATCATCTTCTCCAATTCATTTGGATTTGTCCCATAATTTTTATTTGATATATATATATATATATTTATTTAGGTGAGATAGGTTTAGGATTTAGGGGATATAATGTTTTATACGAACGTAAGATAATTTGACTCTTGTCGATCAACCGTTAAATAATCCATTTCTAACGACCATGTAAGGGAATGATGGTAGCACGAATCCAAACGTTTTTCTTAATTAAAGGAACAACTAATAAAACCGTAGAAAAAAATGTGATGTTACGAAGATATTTGTCATGGGATGACGACGAAGCTTATTTAAGAATTTGGAAGACGACAATGAAGCAAGCGAAAAAAAATGCAACGTTGGAGAAGATAAAGACAATAAATGTGAGAAGGAGCCGGAGGCGAATAATAAGACAACTTCCTCGAAGACAAATAGAATGTTAAATTAAGTATAAAAATAAAGAAAAATTAAGAGGTTGAAAGTTGATTATAATTAAGATTAAGTTTAGAAATAAATAATACAAAAATAATATTAAAAAATAAATCAATATATAGAAATAATAAGAAGAGACTTAAGAAAAAAATAATAATAATTAAATTAAATAGAGTCTTGTGACCTACTTCATCTCAAGTGCATCCACCATGAAAGACATATTTTGAACTATATATATATTTATTGTTTAAAGCTAATACTATATTTGTTTTTGAAATATTTACATATAATAATAATATGTTGTTTTTATATTGATGCAGTAAATATATCAATGTGATGTTGAATTTATTAGGAATCATTAGATCATTAGATTAAATATAACGTTCATCTAACAATTATGTAAATATTTCCTCCGTCGCATATCTATATATTTATTTGTTTTTTGTACGGAATTTTGGAAATATTAGTATTACATTGGAATAAAGTAGAAATAAAAGTAAAAAGACTAAATTAACCCTATTAGAATTGTATGTTATAAAAGTAATGACATTTGTGTAATATATTGTAAATTGGAATGATTTGTAATGTTAGGTGGATGATAGAATTACTATAAAAAAATAGATACTTAATGAAAAAATAGATAGATTGTTAAGGGACGAATGAAGTATAATTTTGTAATTGCATTTACACCTAATTTTCTTCCATATTAGTTAGGGTTCTTATTGGAAATTTATCAGCATCATACTGATAGTCTAAGTAACACATGAAACTATTATAAATATTATATGGAAGTATTACAAATAATACATAATATATAAAATATTAGTATATATTGTATTAATATGTATTTTTAATTCTATTTTACATACATATTGTAAATTCATATCTAATGTACTAGATACTGTGTTATGAGTACAATGTTGATTATATTTAATATTTTTTTCGTCCTATAAGGAAGTATTTATTTATTTTTTGCACGTAGTTTAAGGTATATTAATATTATATTGATTATAGTAGGAATAAAGTAGAAATGACTAAAATAACCTTATTAGTATTGTGTGATATAAAGATAATAACATTTGTGTAATATATTCTAAGTTATAAGGGTATTTGTAGTGTTAAGTAGATAGTACAATTACTTAAAAATGAAATGAATACTTTGTTATGGGACGGACCAAAATAAAAAAAATGAATAATTTGTTATGGGACAGAAGGAGTATATTATATATTACTTTGTTACGAGCGCAATGTTGATTATATTTAATATGTTGACTGGAATGTATTCATTAAGACTCATAAAAATATATTATCTCCGTCCCGCTCTGAGAGTCCTATTTACTTTATACGTGTTGATCTTTAAATATTAATTATTATATAAAAATGTAGTACAAATTAAAAAAAGAATTACAAAAATACTTTCATTAGTGTCTTATAGTACTAAGAAAATGACATTTGTACAAAAACAAATTATATAAATATAAAGATATCTTTAAAGTTAGTACAATGACGCAAAAAAGTAAATATAATCCTTAGAGGTGGACGGAGAAAATATATTTTAGTCATTTGTTGAATGCTTTCATATGATTATAGAAATACATGTATTCATAAAAACTCATTTGTTTACATGTATTTTCAAATTATTTTTTAGCATTATTAATTAATAATGTATTTTTTTTTTAAAGATCATGCAGGTTCTTCTTATGTGGTGATCAATCTTCCTCTTTAAAAATTTATAAAATATATATATATATCATTTTTAAAAAATCATATTAACATTATTTTCGTATATAATCTTATATGTAACAATTACTTTTATATAAAAATATTAATATAAAAAATATGAATGTTTATTGCTTTGGGCAAAAATATAAAAAAATATGAAGTATGTAAAAGTATGAAAAATGATGTTTATTGCTTCTCAAAAAATATAAGAAAAATATTGTATACCTCACAAGTCCAACTTCTATACCACCAGATAAATCATTTTTAATAAACCATAGACCTCTCTGCCCTCAGAAGAATATTCAATTATTTTGCCTGTTTTGATTTGTAATTATTTTAATTAAGATTAAATTGCAATTACATGTAAAACAAAACATTAATTAAAAAAACAAATAAATAGGTGTCATGACTCATGAGAGAGGGTCGGCCCAACACGGTTTTTAAATGGGCCTGAACAGTTAGGCCCAAGCTCAATTCCATTTGAAATTGGGTCATGTCGGGTGGATCTAATTTTTTAATTTTAAATTATTTTTTCCTTTTTTTTTTAGATTAATTTAATAAAAGTTGTATTCTAATAGTCTAATTAGGAATTGAACGCACAACCCTATGCATATAAGATATAAACTTTATCATCAAATTATACCTTAACTTTTACTACTCTTCATTAACTTTTACCTGATGGATTAATTAAACATTTGGGCCCCTGTGACGTGAATTGGGCCTGATGGTCCAACTATTAGGCTCAAAACTATCTTAAATGGGGCGCCGCATTTTGCAGCCTCCGTCGCGAAGATGGCAACGTTGAAAGAGATTCTCACGAGGCGCCCGGTGGCGGCGACAATCCGCCTGACGGTGCCGGCGGGAGGGGCGAAGCCCGCGCCGCCGGTAGGTCCTGCCTTGGGTCAGTACAGGCTGAATCTGATGGCGTTCTGCAAGGACTTCAACGCCCGAACCCAGAAATACAAACCTGAGACTCCTATGGCCGTCACCATAACCGCCTTTACGGACAATACCTTCGAGTTCATTGTGAAGTCTCCCTCTGTTACGTGGTACTTGAAGAAGGCGGCGGGGATCGAGTCCGGCAGTAGCCGCCCCGGTCACGTAGCCGCCTCTACAATCACTCTGAAGCACGTGTACGAGATAGCCAAGATCAAGCAGGCCGATCCTTACTGCCAGTACATGTCGCTCGAGTCCATTTCGAAGTCCATCATTGGGACTGCCAATTCCATGGGAATTAAAGTTCAGAAGGAGCTCGATTAGGTTAGGGTAAATTATCCACTCCTCAATGAGAGTAATTTTGATTTGCTTTTATGCGCACTGCGTTTCTGTTTCTGCTTTGATTTGAATTACACAAGGGCTATATAAATTGGGCGTCTCTGCGATTCCTACAATCTATGAGAAATATGTGTTCATCGTTTCTGCATCTGATGAAATTCTTATCTCTGATCATCTGGGGATTTACTTGGCTTGTTAAAAAGATTGAATTCTTGTGATTCTGAATGCACCTTCACCTATATGGAGTCTTTAGTGAAAATTATTTGATGGTATAACAATAACTTGATCAATTCATTGCCTTGTACAAATGTGCATTCTTTCTTTATGATCAATTGGAATAGTTTATTGTAGTGTAGGGTAGTTTCCTCAAGCTGATGGTAATTTTTCACTAAGCAAGTTGGATGATGGATGGATAAGAGAAGCAAGCTCTTACAGAAAATCCACCTAGTTTTGCTACACTCTGAACCTTAATTTGATGTTTTTGCAATATGATTGAAATTGATGCTGGATTGGAAGAGGGGTTTGATCTTTGATGTTGATGTTGATGTTGATGGTGGTTATGGTTAAGGATTTTGCTTAGTGCAAGAAACTGTATCTGTATTGCTTGTATAGAGAGTGCGTTGTTGAAGATACAATGAGAAATGGAACATGTCGTAGCAACTCTTTATGCCCATCTTATGTTTTTAGAATGTAGAATGAAACTTGCACCATAAACTTGGAAGGTGTGTTCATTGTTTTTGTTTTGTGCCTTTTAGGTGAAAATAATAACAGTTGGATATGAAGTTATTATTCGATTATGTGTTTATTAGGAACAATGAGACTATATGCTAAAAAATTGAAATAAAAAACAAAGCCAATATCTTTTGTATATTATTATAAATGGGGGGTTAGGTCCCTAGTAGGTCAAAACGACACTTGAATTAAAAACAGACACCACACATAGTTTCGAAGCATACGTGTGCTATGTGCTTTGAAATTATATTTGATGTAGTGAAATCAATGATAGTGTTGTGTGGCATGTCTTGCCGATTATACGAAACAATTATATTATATTAATGTAAATTATCTGCTATTTTATACTCCCTCTCTGGCAGGTGAAATTAGTAGCTTCTTCTCCTCTCCGCAGAATTTAAGAAAATTTGATTTATATAATTAATTAGTGTGAATTAGTTAATGTAATATATATATATATAATAAAATGTTATTTTAACTATTTTTATTTGATGAAATATTGAAATAAAAGTTGAAATATTTTTTATTTTATTTTATTTTATTTAAATTTAAAATTTTATTTATTGAAATTATTTTATTTTAAAAAAATATTATTATTGTTTGTAAATTATAGAATTAGATAAAAAAAAATAAAATTAATTGTAATAATTTAACTACAAAAATAATAGTAGTAATACTAAAAATTTTAATATAAATAAAACATCAAATTTTTCGAATTTGATTGTTGGTAGGGATAGTTCGATACTACATACCAAAATTAGTAACACATATTTTATATATAGTACCAAAATTTTTAGTATGCTATTTTATCATAATGAGTTATTGTACCAATAATTTGGTATACCGAATTTATAGATCAAAAAATATTGAACTACAAAAATAACACATACTGCACTAAAAAAAATACCGAAAATGCCAAATTTCAGTATACCAAACTTTTTTTTTATGGTATCGATTGTTTTTTTTTTTAAATATACCAAAAAATTTGGTGTGGTATATAATATAGTTCGGTATTATCTTAATACAATATCGAGTCATTTCTAATGGAATTACATGTATGGTATCAAAATATAATATTTTAAGTTGAAATATAAAAATTAAAAATAATTTTAAAATTTTAAGAATATATTAGAAAATTAATTATTTTAGTATCAATATACTAAATTGTTGATATAAACCAATATATCAAATACTAAAATATCAACTGTATTGATAATTTCGGTTTATATTATACCAACAATGCTAAAAGTATATGCAATTGTTGTACTGAAAATGTTCGGTACGATATCATACCATATAAAAATTTACGATATACAATAATTTTGACACTTTAGTATTTTTTTCATACGGTACCTGCATTATTTGAGCAAATTGATATTTTCACTCTTAATAATAGTGATAAATAAATTTTTTTAATGAAATATAAAAATCAAATTCTAAATTAAATCTCATTATTAACTAATTTTCAATAGTAAAATATCAAATCAAATATCTTATATATTATATTAGAAAGTAATTAAAAATTTTAGATATCACATAAACACTTATTTATATCATATTGAATATTTATTAATTTTTATTATTCAAAATTCTAGCTCTATTTTTAAATTTACAATAAAACAAATAATAAAAAAAATAGTGTGCTGAATGCCATATCCATAATTAATTAATTTATTAATTTTTTTAAAAATTATTACTTTATATTTTACTGTTATTATTATTTTTATTTAACAGAATAACGTTTATATTGAGCATATTGTATCATAGTATAATTTCTTAAAATATTTATACATTAAAACATGTTGGATTTTATAGTCCTTTGGGATCCACCCCAATGATACACAATACACACTATGCAGTCCAAATATCATATTGGCCTTGACCCACATCACAAGCCCGCGAACTATGATCCGAGCCTACGACCCATAAACCATGATCCGAACCCACAACCTTTACTCGCTGGAGCTCCGCGTCCTCATGTGACCCTGATCCGTCTCCGCGTCTTTCTTAGATGAAGCGTGATCGTCTGATTTGGCGATTGGATCTTGGCCATTCGTTGCTAGTTGACCTAAGTATATATACGAGAGAGAGGGCGCAGTCATTACTCTCACACTTCCTCTCTCTCTCTCTCAAACTTGCTTTCCTCTCTAACCTTCTCATTCTCTCACTCTTACACAAATTTTCAGTGACTTTTCGGCGTTTTTACGGCGGTGCCTTCTTCCTACTTTTGTGTGGAGCTTCCTTGGCACATTTGCTCTCTGTTTTGTTGTTTGTAACCGCAAGGAGCTCGTTTAACTTGGTAGCCTTGAGGTGTTGTTGTATGTCTCGCTATGTTTTGTGGGGGTTTCTTTTTGTCTTTTTATTGTGGGTTTCGGGCCGATGTATTTGTGTAAGTCGCTAGCGTGTGTCGATTTTTACTTTTTCCGAGTTGATTGGGGCTGAGCCTAACTAAAATTAGTCTAATATTTTATGTTTTAACTCGATTTCGTTAATAAAACTTTAGATTTTTTTTTCGTATATTTCTATTACAAAACGTCCTAAAATTAAGCTCAATTATATCAAAAAATTGACTTATGAAATTTGTTGAATTATAGTATTATTTAGCACCACAATTTTTTCCCTATAGACATAAAATTATTGTCTCACGTAATTAATCTATATCTTCAGATCTACAGAATAAATTAATGAAACAAGTAAATTATAAATTATATATAAATGGATAGAAAATTGCTTTTAAAAATTTAGAGTGTTCAATTTAGTTGCAGATAATAGAGGATTGAAAAGATGGTCATAATTATTATGTTTATACTTTTATTATAAAAGATTTAGAAAAAAAATACTATAGTTTAAATTGTGTTTGATACGGAATTTAAGGAATATTAATATTATATTTACAGTGAGTAAAAAGTACGGGTAAAATATAATATTTTTTAATCATATTAAATTATTATTTAAATTAAAATATAAAATTAAATACAAATCAAAGAATATATCTGTTACTTATTTAACTTTTGAATTTTAAATTTAAAAATAATAAAAATTTGAATTAAGTGCTTTGATATATAATATAAATAAATATTCATAATAAAAAAACTTCCTAGATAAAGATTGACTTTATATGTAATGTTGGAAAATATGTGCCAAAGGACCGAAAATCTTTTTTGATATTCTTTTTTGTATTTGGAATTTGGATATTTTCAAAATTTAAATACAATATAGATTTAAAAAACAAATCATCACACAAAAAAGTAAAATAAAATAAATAAATAAATACATAATTTGCCATTATTAAGTCATATCCTGTATTTATATGAACATATCTTGTACTGTTTATTTCTATTTAATTTGTTGTTAATGTGATAAATAAACTTCCTCAGTGCAAGAGCCATATTTATATATACAAGCATAATCACTCACACACACAATTGACTGCAGATTAACAAAAAATTTCAATAAACTGAAGAATTCTGGGAAAATAAGAATGTGTATATATATATATATATATATTACAGAGCACAGTTGGGAGGTATTTTAGATATACCTTGACGCTGCAGCTCCGTGAAGATACCGTCGACGGACGGAGGCTTCAGCCCGAGGGGCAGCGGCAACCACGGCTTCGATAAAACTTCTCCTATGGCCGCATCTAAGCTCTCGTTCGACTGCTAAAACATTCATCATTTCAGAAACATTGACATGGATCGAACATTCCAAGACACCCAGCCGAGGAGGAGCTAAGAAAATCTCACCGGAATTGAATCGAGTGGCGGCCGGGGAAGTGTCTTTCCCGCCGGTACACCAATTCCGGCGTGCACACTGTATGCCGTCGACGTAGATTGTAGTCCCAAAACGGCCGGATTGGCGAACATCTGCGATTATCAATTCATGTAAATCGATCAAATTCGATAATTATTGAATAATTATCGGTGATTTAACATGGTATCACATTTACTTTTTGCGTCATTGTGCTTAACATTAAAAATATCTTTATGTTATGATAATAAGACACTAATGAAATATTTTTGTATTTTTTTCTTAATTTGTATTTTGTTTTTGTATAATAATTAATATTCAAATGTAATTAATGATATATTTTTCTGTAAACTTAAACTTTTAGGTGACATGATCTTTTAACATTAATTACCGGCGACGCGCATTGCGGGAAACACGGCATCCCTGATGCGATCACCTGCATTATGCGCGAGCTGGTTATAACGATGCGCACATTTTCGATTTTCAAAAAAAATTTGAAATACTCACATTTTGGTGGTGGCAATACCAAGAACCCGGCGCCGGCGCCCAAACCGGAGGTTGCGTCGGATAAGCTCGATGATCCGGCCACATGTACCTCCACGATTGGCCGGAAGACGGATAACCCCAAACAGGGAGTGCCGGAAAATGCGGCGTCGGTTTGACGGGAGGGAATCCGGTTGTCGGAACACCCCAAGAATTCGAATTTCCGTTAGGCGCCGCGCTAGCTGAAGTTCCATAAACTCGCCGTCTCTGCCTCAGGCTCGCGACCTCAGCTTCTTGAGCTAGCAAATTCTTGTGATGCGTTCGATATTTCTGCGCAAAAAACAGCGACACAAATAATCAACGCGAGCTTTCATCGCTGCGCGGTGATGAAAAGATTATAATGTGATTACTTGAAGATGGCTCGCAACATTATGGCGAGTGAGACAATCGGTTCCCATAAGTTCCAAGATCTTCGACGGCACGGCTTTATCCAATCCGATATGCTCGACTGCTTCGACGAATTTCCGGTGTAGCTCCGGCGTCCAATCGACCTGTGCACGACGATTCAAACATAACACGATAGAGTGAGGTTCGAGTAATCGACAATTTCCGAACTACCTTAGCCTTCTTCTTCCCGGTATGATCTTTTGAAGTAGCTGCTGAGGATCTTCTTCTTCCTTCATCATCATCAATGGAGGATGGATTAACCAGAGAGGAATCTTCCCCTTTACAACCCTGTTCTTTTTCTTTATCTGCTTGATCTGAAATAGACGTACTAAAATTGCTGGTGCTCATAATCGATTCTTCATTGGCAGTAGCCATTAACAATAATTCACCATCACTTTCTGGTTCTTCCATCCTCATGATATTGTTATTAATATTATTATTCTCAGACGACATTTTCTCCTGCTAATGGATCATGACCACAAAAAGATCGATTATGTAATTAGGGAATTCCAATGGGCAACTCAAACTGTTCAGTTAAGGAAATTAGATCGATCAGCAGCATTAAATTTATGGTAAGAAACAAGCAAAAGAATATCCAAACTCATATAAATAACAAATATTTGGAATCCATCGAAATCCTTTCCTTTAGGATGATTCGAAAGCGAAATGTGCTCCCTCTTTTTTTTTTTTAAAACAATTAGGTTAGAGAAATCAAATAAATCATGAGAATTCCATAAGTATATATGAAATATTCGAAAGAAAGGAAAAGCCCACCTTACCATTGGCATTATGAAACTAAAAATGTGGTGGTTGGTGTTGATGGACTCGTTTCTCCTGCCATTAGCAGTACTACTGCTACTGCCTTTAATTTGTTTGTTGGGATCCAAAAGAACAACACAGAAACCACTAGCATGATTAAAAAAAATAAAAAAATTTAGAATACTGAAAAAAAAAAGAAAAGAAAAAAGTGTAATTAAAAAAATAATAAGCAACCATCAGGAGCAGATCATGTGTATATATAGACAGGCACAGGCAGACAGGAATAGAAGCAGGTCTTCTTCTTTCCCTCAACTTTGTGTAGCCAAGGATCAGTTCCCTACACTTTTATGTATGTAATAGCAAGAATTAATTTGTTTTGAGAAGAAATGGAAGGAAGAGAATGATGATGAACTTAAAATAAACCCACCAGAAATGATAGTTGAGATCTTCTTGTGAAGAGAGCAGAGAGAGAGGGAGCTAGAGAGAGAGAGAGAGAGAGAGAGAGAGAGAGTGATCTGTGAGTGTAGCAGTGATGATGGAAGGAAGAAAAGAGGTTCTTGTGATCGCAGTAATGTCGTTTTGTTTGTGGCTGAGGGTGTGGCTATGCCATATTATTATTATTATTATTATTATTCATATTTACAGGAGAGGAGAGAGTGAGGAGTGATGAGGATGGATGAATGAATATGAATGATGAATTAGGAATTGTGAATTGTGAATTGAAATGAAATGAAAATGCCTTATTTCATCAGAGTAGCTGATCTTATTTGATTTGATTTTGATTTGATTTGGGTGTTGGGTCTTTCTTTCTCTCTCTAGTCTCTCTCTAACAGTACCTACTTTTCTCCCACTTTGACCCCTCCCTCCCTCTATAATTCATCTCTTTTAATTTCGTCCACTCACCTCCACCCTACAATGTTTCCATTTTTTCAACCTTTCATACACCCCATACATACATATATATATATATATATGTATATGACATAATTGTTGTCCAGTGAAAAAATGGTATGGTGCTAGCATTAGATCAGACTCGTGACCATGATATCAAGAATGTATTCAATATTTTCGACAGTTTTAGGCCATTCGAAATTAAGGACCGTTAGATCCACCGGCCCTATGATTTAGGGCCGCACACTCATTATTTTTGGTTGTTCAAAACCTTTCGACGTTAATGACCGCAATCATCAAATGGCCTCCTGTTCAAGGGTCTCATGCACATTATATCTGATAGTTTGTTTTTTGTTTTTTTGTTTTTTTTAAACACCCCACCCACGCACGCACTCACATCCCGACGGGAATTTCACCCAACACATGCACATATGCACTCACCCAGGATCGAATTTGGGATCCAACCCTCAAGCGAGGGATGTCTCACCGCTTGATCTACAAGGATTTGAAGCTTTATGATGTTAAGGACTTCAAACGTCGACCATCAACAAAGCCTTTTAGAGTACTTGTTGGAACTCCAAGCCGACTTTCATTCTTGAGTTAGCGACGATCACGATCAAAGAGTGTAGAGAACTTAGGACTTCGCAAAATTTGATTTCAACGGTATCACCTATCATTTTTCTAGTGTGACTTGAGGTTTACCCAAAACGAATAATAGAGACTTATTGATTAAATATAATCTAACATGAACCTGACCTGAATGTCGACCAATGTCCTAAAAATTAAGAAGAGATGTGTGTCAAGACTTTTAGATCTAAAGATCCAAATTTGCGATGGGCCAAAGCTTCAACATAGTTTATCTATGTGCCTAACATAAATGCGAAAATGGAAAGATCCATAAGCTACCCAACTTGACCACCTATAATTCGAAAGATCCAAATAGAGCATTTGTTGGGCACAACCAATACAAAATATTAAAGAAGATGAAGACGTTAAAACAACAATGGAAAGGGTCTTATTTAATGCACTTGAAATATGGTCTAGTAGTTGAAAGCTTTAAAGAATCAGAAGTTTAAAAGATCCATAGGATGATGGCCTAAACCAAGACCATGTGTAACATGCCCGGAAAGTGACACGTTCGGCGTCTAGGCTCCATCTGTTTTGAGGCCTAGACCAATCGTCCCTTATGCGCAATAAGTCTGAATATGTCATGTGATATAGGAGATATATACAGAACATGTATCTACATCAAGATACAGGTTATCGATTCACCTTATAGGGACAAGAAGCTCGCACATATGGAACTGACTATGGCCGAGAACCTGAGACAAAATTGTCAACATGTAATAACACTCCCCACCTCAAGTCACAAACGTCATCGTGCAACGCTACATGAATGGACTGACTGACGTTGCTTTTTGCATCCTTAACATGCCTTTAGGTGTCAGACTGTTGACACTTCTTGTATACCCTTTGTGCTCACCTAACGTTAGTGAAACTCCCCATAGCCAACCCACATGTAGTCCATTGTTCATCTCCTCACACCTTTCGAAACACCACTTGTTGCGGCTTGTACTTTTTGTCCAAAAATCGCCCTTAACTTGTTTCTTTTTGCATGAACAAAGCTCTTTCAATCTAGCACAACGACACAATCGAGTTACATCTCCCTCAATGAGCACTCCCTCTGGAATGTCCATCTTTCATATGGATATGCTCACCCGTGACGTGTCTCCAACTATGTTCTCTCACGGAGCACAATTTGAACTGTTTGCTTTTATTATCACTATAGTCAATGCCGTTCTAATACCACATGTAACGTGTCTCGGAAGTTAATATTTCTGACGCCTAAGCCCAGATTAGTTGTCCTTGCACGCAATAAATTTGAATATACTATATGATATATGAGATATATGCATATATACTTATACCAAGATATATACCATCAATGCGTAGTGAAAATAGTCTTCTAACTAGTCCAACTTGACAACGACTAGGACAAGGAATTCCATCGAACAATAACAATAATAACTAAAATTTAAAATTATTTAGGAAATGAATTTCCCCCTAAATTATTTTTAAAAAGTAAGATTCGTAGTCTCCTTTTTTATGTAAGTGTAAACTTATATTTAAATAGCAAAACCGCAATGAAGACTCGATTTCTCGTACTCTATACTTTCATTTAAATAGAAATAAATTAATGTGGAAGAAATTGTTTATGAATAGGTATATAAATTTTATTGTCGTAGCATTAAATTCCATACCAGACACTAAAATTTCCTTAAATAATTAATCTATATTGAAACCTATAATAATGATTTAATTTAATATAAATAGTTATTGATTTGATTTTTTAATATAAAATTATTTTTTTTAATATAATATAAAAAATAATAAGTATATATTTAATTTAATATTTTAATTCTTTTTTTTTTATAAATAATAAAAATTGAGTCTAAAACTCACAAATAAACATTTGCCAAACTATTCAAATTTCCCCCTGTTTGCTTTTATTTTTATTTTACATTATCCAATTGATATATATTTCAAGAATAAATAGCGTGTTGATTTGTCTTGGTGTTTTAGATTTTTTATTTGAGTTTTGAACAATGAAATTATAAATCAAAATAATTATTTAAAAAATATAAATAAATATTGATATAATATTATGAAATTATTTAATATTTTTTTAAAAAAAATTAATGAAAAAATCTCCAAATTCCCTCGAACAACACAATATATAAGGGTAAACCCATGTGAAAAATATGTAACATTTTTATGAGTACGGATTAATTCAAATTTTCTTATTTTAAATTTAAATAGTGTTTCACGCATTTAAATAAAAATGTCATCCAAATATTCTTTTAGCAACATTAATAATGTCGGATAACTTCATTAAATCATAAATTTAGACAATTAACTGATCAACACTCTGGGTTTTATGTACCAAATTTGTTGCCCACTAAAACGACCTCACAATGGCATGGAATTAATTTTCTATGTGATTATTTTGTGACAGAATTTAATTAAATAAAACAGCTGACCTGGCAACTATATATATTATTGATCTGACCACCTAAAAATCGACAATATCACCTCACATGGTTCTTTAATTTTACAGTACCAAAAATAAATAATAATAATAATAATAATAATAATAATAAATAAATAAAAATAAAACCCTCTTCTTGGTTATTTGCGTGTAGGTTAATAGTATGATGGAGTCGGTCCCAAATCTGAATTATTTTTTATTTTTGAGTTATTTATTATTAGAGAAAAAATTATTTTTGGTCTTAATATAATCAAAATTTATCAAGTTTGGTCCCAATATAACTAAAATTCATCATTTTTTGTCCAAATATAAATTTTTTATCAATTTTAGTCTCAATCTAACCAAAATTCATCATTTTTGTCCCAATATAATCAAAGCTTATCTTTTTTTTTTTATCCCAATATAATAAAACTTTATCTTTTTTGGTCCTACCGTCAATAAACCGACGAAAAATGATGCAAGATTGTGCAATTTCTTCAAATATAAATATAAAGTCTGATTTCTTTTCACGTCAGCATTTTCCGTCACTTTGTTGACAGTGTGAGACCAAAAAAGATAATGTTTGATTATATTATGACAAAAAATGATAAGTTTTGGTTATATTGGAACTAAAATTGATAAAAAATTTATATTGAGACAAAAAATGATGAGTTTTGGTTATATTGGGACAAATAATAATGAGTTTTGGTTATACTGAGACCAAAATTGATAAGATTTTTATATTGAGACCAAAATTGATAAATCTTAGTTATATTGAGACAAAAATAATTTTTTCCTCTATTATTATTATTATTATTATGTTTTGAAATTATTTCCTAAAATTGAATAGTGTAATATTGTGCAATGAAATAATTGATTATATATATATATATATGTATGTCCGTAGCTAGGACAACGACAAGACGATTTTAATGGTGGAGATGAATGTGTATAATTAGGGTGGGACAACGGTGCTGGTGCTGGTGCTGGTGCTGGTGTTGGTGTTGGCCCCGGCCGGCACTCGCGCAGCAGATCGATTGATCTCTTGTCAGCTCGATCGACACTCTTTTCGTTATTTAGTCCATTATAGAACATATCAATCAATATTACATATGTTGCATCAATAATATTTTGTTTTTTCAAAGGATGTCGATTCAGCAAATTCAGCGATGTATATACTTAAAAATACATACAAATAACATATACAATATTACATAATAATATAATTTATATTAATATAATACAAATATAATAGATGAATATTATTATAATAATAGCTTATACAATACATATTATTATTGATTTAAACGCGTGAGATGTATTAATAACATACACTTTAAAATTGTATTATGTTATATAAATAATATATTATTATAAAAAAATATTATCTAGTTATTTAAATTCTATCCATATGTTTTTAATGTTTTTTTTTTTTTAATTGAACTATCAAAAAGTTTGCCGACAGTTTCCATATTTTCGTATTTTTAGTGTAACTATATATTACTCCATTAAATTGATATCATTTTGGGCTCTTATTTAATTTTTTGTTTAACCATGTAAATTTTTTTATATAAAAATAATTTATATTTGATAATCTTTTATTAAAAACAATAGAAATCAAACATTTTAAATAAAAAAATACACCCTTGGATATAAAGTTTAAAATTTTTAAAATTTAAAAGGAAAATGTTTCTTCTGTAATTTTAATTATTTTAAAAAATATTTTTATAGTGAAAAATTGAAATAATATAATACGCTTGAGTTAATCGGAAAAAGTGCTTTAGAAAATAATAAAAATACTTA